AAAAAAGAGAAGAAAATGGTTAAACTATTTTGTATAATTTTTGGTGTAATGATTGGAGATAAACTTTTGTTTGATATAAGATTTAGTGTAAAATGATACAAATTTGGTGTAGCGTGGGAGATTGCCTTAACAAAAAATGGATTTGACTGTAAAGAAATGGGAGTTTTCTACTAGAAGAAAGGGGGAAAAAATTAAAATAAAATAAAAATGTGAGGCCGTGATAATTATTGGTGCTTTTTGCAGGAGCCATGATAATGTCTGGAAAAGCTCTTTTTACAGGAACACAGTGGCAAGAACTGGAGAGACAGACAATGATATACAAATACATATTGGCTTCTATCCCTATTCCACCTCAACTCCTCTTACAGCTCTCAAATGCCCCAATTCTAACACATGCCTTCCAATCTAAAAGTAAAGTTCCCTTTAATGTATATTTGTTTATGTCAAATTCATATTGATTGTTTGGTGGTTGTCAATTACATGTTAAAAAACTGCGCCTTTAGTTGCATGATGTCGAGAAAAGTAGGTGAAAAGCGGGTTTTAAGGAAAGTAAATATGCTGATATGTTTTTTGTGTGCAGCATCTGGTTTGGATTTGAGGTTCTCGAGCGGGTCGGATCCAGAGCCATGGAGGTGCAGGAGAACAGATGGGAAGAAATGGAGGTGTTCAAGGGATGTAGCGCCTGATCAGAAATACTGTGAGCGCCATGCCCACAAAAGTCGACCCCGTTCAAGAAAGCCTGTGGAAACTCAATCCCTGAACACTACTACCAACAATTATTCTCAACAATCTCTTCTCCTTCCACCTAATACTACCACTCAAAACTCAATGGACTTCGCTAATCCATATGACCAAACAAGGTGAGTTTAGGGTTTCAAGAATTTCTTTCTTAATATAATGTAATTTTTTATGGCTTAAAGTGGAAAAAGGGATACGGAAATCTTCTGAATACACCGGCCATAGCTAATAGGGTTTCAAGAATTTCTTTCTTAATATAATGTAATTTTTTATGGCTTAAAGTGGAAAAAGGGATACGGAAATCTTCTAAATACACCGGCCATACCTAATGCTGTTGACAAAATCTTGTTTAGCCCCGTTTGGTTCTGATTTTTCAACCTAAAAAATCTTTTTATTTTTATTTTATTTATATTTTTATTTATCGTTACTTTTCTCAGTCGGCTGTCATTTTTTACTTTTTAACTCATGGGTGGACTCACTTTTCTATCTAACTATCAAAAAATTGATTCACAAGATCATTACCAAACAGGCCCCTAGTCTATGTTTGGTTTTGCTACAAAGTAAAAAATAGTTGAAAAGGTGAATCCCGTATGGTTAAAATTATTTATTGATATTAACTTTGATTTTGACCATTTTTTAGCTAAACTAAAAATGGTTTATCATGTGTACAATTCTTATACTACATCAGCACTTTTGACATATTTGGTGGACGATTAATACACGGTGCTAAGAAAATTTTCTTTATGTAGGCATTTTTTGTTCTTATCCATGATAAATTTATGTTATAGCCTGTGGTTCTAGTCTCCTCTGTCGACGTGCAAATAAATGTGGGTTCTAATTTCTTTTGTATATTTTGATTCTTGATATTGCTTAAGGTGCACAGAATGGTTGATGGGAAGTGTAAGCAGCAGTGGCACCATCCCCGTCTCTACTTGTAACCAACAATGGCATCAACTTATGCAGTCATCATCAAAAGTGGAATATTTGAATAGAGACAACACTGTCCAAAACGAGAATAATGTGTCTACATTTCAATACGATGATAAACAAGATTTCATGAACTTATTTCTTGATCACCCCAAGTTAGCCTATTTACAAGGAAACCTTGATTTAAACACTGAAAAAACACAGACAACGAGGCGTTTTATTGATGAAAGGTCAACAGGAGAGAAAGACGGCGATGAAGGGTCTGCTGCATCTTTAAACAAGAAGATGTTTTCACCCTCGTCTTTGACTCTATCAATGTCAAGAGGAATTGGGATTGGCGATGATAATGACCACAATGCTGCAATTGGTATTGGGACCATGAAGACTGTTAAAGAAAATGATGGATTTTTGAATTCTGTTTCTTGGATGAATTCTCCGCAGGGTGGACCGTTGGGTGAAGCATTGGGACTCGGCAATTCCACCGCAGGTGGTGGTGGAAAGGGGTGTTCGGATTTGGCTTCACCTCATGGGTATAGCAATAGCACTGCTAATAGCAGCAACTGCAGTAAAAGTTCTTGCGAGGATGGCAGCTATGCACACAATTTTATCGGTTGACTGCTCAACTTTTTGAACTTGAGCCTAGTGCTGGCCAAACAGAAGCTATTTGATGTGTTTATTTCGTTTAATTTGGTTCCCTTACTCTTCATGACTCTTTTATTTATGTACATTTGTGTCCTTTTCATAATTAGCAATAGATACGCTGCACTGTTCGCTTTTAAGGTGGCCCGTGCCATTTACTATGTCCAGAATTGCTCATCGGTGGGCCAACTGTATTGGGCTTATTGTGCTCGTACAATTATTTGCATGGACCTATATAGGTACTCTTTTAGAAATGTGATTGCCTGGGTGGTCGTCATATGTGGGCAGCACTCGGTTCGTGTAAAAATGGTGCAGCCTTGAGCCAATCTGAGCTTTTGTTCGGCCAAAAAAATTTAGGCTCGATCCAAGCTTTCGACTCGAGCCTTATCGATTCGGGCCAAGTTGAGCTAGCTTGCGAAATTATTATTATTATTATATTTAATGACAAGTTGCTACAACCACACGTTGCTTGCTAGCCTGGCAACTAGTCAAGCAAAGCTGCCTACCTTGCTTTTTATTTTTTTTTAATTTTTAGTTTAATTTTATTTATTTTAAGGTTTGGCTTGGAAAATGGCCTGTGTGGCTTGACGAGCCACATGGGTTGGTTTGGTGTTGGTCAACGATCCAAAATGGGGGTCGGTTTGAGCTTCTGCTCGATAGATGCCGAACAATGAGTCGGACAAGCTCGGGCCTTTATTGGGTTGAGTACCAGTCGATGAGCCAAATTGACACCTTCAAGTTGGGCCTTGAGAGCACCAACAATGTCTCGTGCAGTCTGACACATTTGGCAAGTGGCAATAGAGACTTGCAAATTTAATACCCCAGTTTCACAATTGTGCCGTCACTAACGCTTATTGCAGTATGTTGTTCCGAATTTGTTGTTCTTTTGGTTGTTTCTTTGTATATTTTTTACCCTTCAATAACCATATTTTAACAAATGAGAAGATATTACGCTCCGTTTGATTCGCCAAATTTTCCATGAAACTTGGAATTCGAATTCCAACTTTCACTTTTGGCCTGTTTGATTGACAAAATTTTCTAGGGAATTCATTTTTCATGTAATTCTAGGTACAACACCTTAAAGCGTGATTTTCCACCTTTTATTTTCCTAGGAGGTTGGTGATTTTTGGTTTTCAACCTTTTTTTTTTAATTGTTGGCAATGAGAACAAATTTTAGAAACAATTGTAAAAGAGGATATACCTGAAATTGAGAATTTTCATGTAAAACAAAGTCAAACGAACACAAAAATATAGAAGATTTTTTGATTTTTTTTTTTTTTGACAATGGAAACAAATTCTAGAAACAATCGTAGAAGTGTATATCCCTTAAATTGACAATTTTCATGTAAAATAAAGTCAAACGAACACCAAAAAATACTTTTACTTCAACATTTTCCACGTGGAAAATTATATCAATCAAACACAATAATTTACAATTCCCAGAAAAATGATTTTTAGATAATTCAATTCCCTGAAATTCATTTTCTTTCCACCCAAATTCCATCTTCGTATAGTGATGGTAAATGTACAAGGCTCCTTTACATATCTTTTACGAGTAACACACTTGACAATTTTTAATTGATTGTTGGCCCAAAAACTAAAAAAATGTAGCCGTCAAGGTGCTGCCAGCACCACCACCTGTAAGGAGCCTTTTGCATTTTTTCCTGTATGCAAGGAAAAGTCCTAATGTGTAATGTGTTGATGTTTCAAAAATGTATTGGTGTACAACCAGAAAGATGTTGATGGATGTTTGCATGATAAGTGGCAAGGACTAATATAATTAGTGCTTGTCTAGGAGAAAATACAATGAAAATGAGTAATGAGTTGCTCGAAACATGGGACAATAATTGTGAAAATGTAGCTACTTTTTAAGGAAATTATAATGTTTGCCAAACATGTCAGTAGCTACTTCAAAGAGACAATTTCATTGTGATCACGTCTCTCTGTAAGCCATCATAAATAATCAATTGATTGTTCTTGAATGCCAGATAAATGGTCATGTGAAATGTGGTCGAGTTTCATAACAGAAGTAATTTTCAGTTGAATATTTTTTTATCATTGCAATTTAAGGAAACAAAGTGTTTTACGTGACAAGCATAAAGATTCAGCTGTCTTCGTCAAGATTCAATTGTGGCGCAACATCATTTATTTGAGGTGCAATCGAAATTCAATAATGCCGCTCAAACAAGTGCTTCGACATGTGTGTTGAGTTGTCAGACCTGCATGAGTATTTATTTATTATTATTTTTTAAATCATTCAATCATGTGTGGACATGTGTCCTTCCCGATTTTTTAACATGTCATTAAGCTTGTCATTGTAGCACGATTGATTAAAATTTGTGACCTTGTTAAATAGGTACAATAATTATACACAGTGCTTTGAAAAAGAAAATAAAAAGTGTAGAATTTGATATCTTTGTATCTGAACAAATAGTTTTGCACAATATATGTGGAAACAGCCATATGTATATGCTTTTCTTTCATAGATGTTTTTTCGGTGTTGCATTAATCCGTGAAGGAATTCTGTGGTAGAAACGGTCCAATTGAAATAAAAATAAAAATATAGTGATTGTAGGCATAAAAAAATAAAATAAAATAACAAAGAAAATGGATTCGATCGATTTAAATCATTAGCCCAATTAAATTAAAATCTACTAAAATTCATAAGTCCAAAGATCCACCTCACTTTTTAAATAAACAGATAAATAAAAATCATAATTACTCAAATATAATTAAGTGATTATCAAAATTAGCACAAAATTCTCTTTTATAAATAGTACCAATGGTCTCAAAGCCAGAGGCAAAAAAGAAATCCTCTTGTATCTAAACTCGTTGAACTCCAAGAAGATCAAAATCTTCTTCGAATAAAATAGATTCATATCAAGTCCAAGAAGATTAAAGTCTTTTTCAAATCAAATCAAATTCAAGTCCAAGTCCAAACCTCAAAATTCAAGTTCCGAACAAGTCGAGTCTCAACAAATCAAAATTTCAACAAAATTTCGAAGACTAGGATTCAAGTTACGTGGCCCCTCATCTTCAAATGTTCATAGTATCAATCGGAGGATTTTTGCAATTTTGCAATTACAAAAAGGTCAACATCACTTGTATTTCTCAAAAATACAATTTGTAACAATTTTTGTATTTTAATCCACAAATTTCGTTGTACAGTGATATCTACATAATTAATTGTTCTAATGATCATTGAATTTAGATCCATGTCTTTGATTGGTCATTGAAAATTAAAATGTCGAATTTTGGTAACTGAACTTAGGTCCATGTTTTCAATTACTCACTGAAATTTAAAATGTTGAGTTTTGATTACTGAATTTTAAAAATATTATACATTACTCACTCTCCAAAACTCGATATTTTAAACTTTTATGACCAAGTAAACACATGGATTTAAGTTCAATGAGCATCGGAAGAATTAACATGATATCTACGTAAACTCTAGATAAAATTGGGAAAAGAAACCATAACAAGATCCAACTTCTTCGCTTCTATTTTTAGCTAAGAACCAATTCAAGAAACAGAAATCTCAAGTCTCTTGCTGCCTCAATCTTCTATCAAACTGTAGAAAACACAAAAATTAGAGCTTAAAGATTTTTTAGCTAATTTTCTTGATAATTAAGCAAGGCCTTCATCTTAACCACCTGCTTAAATCAGTAGTTGAACATGGAGAAATTTCTCCACCAATGCTATCAGATCGATTTGACTGTTGCTCCATTCCTACATAGCCTGCTTGAACACTCTTGAAGCTTGGACTTCTCAAATTCTGGCTCATACTGCTTGGACACCCATACCCGACATTCACAGAATATGGGTCGGGTATCGGGTAGGATAGTTGTTTCTTTGCCGATCCACCTCGATCTCTTTCCGGTGTGGAGGCCCTTTGTCGCGGAGCACTGTGCGATCGAATTCGAGCTTTTGCCGATTCAGTTGTCGCCATGTAATTAGGGATTACAGCATCTCCAGCAGCCTCATTTGTACAAGTGTTGTAGCGGAAATTACTACTGCTAATACGATGAGTAATAGTGGAGCGCAAGCTTGGAGTATTTGCCTTCGAGTAGCTTTTTTCTTCCTTGAGGCATCTAGGGCTTGCGGAACGCACTTGCTGGGATCTGGTTTTGGATATTGGGGGTGGCGTAATAGGCTGTGAGGCTATAGGGACATTGTAAAGTGAACTGTGGTGGGGAGAAGAAGCAAAATATGGGATTGATTGTCTGCGGATTGGACTGCGGTAGTGTGAATTTCTAGAAGAAAGATTCAAATTTGGGGTATCCATTACAACGGTCTTGATTGAGTCCGTTTTATGATCTGTAGAGTTTCTGCTCATCCAGGTATCTAGCCAATTTTTACTGTCATCTTCTGGCTCGTGCTCTTCAGCATATGGATTTGAATCACAATCCCATGTCTTGTTTTTCAGCTGAAAACGTTAGTACATAGATTCCAGAGTAACAAGTGTTTAATTAATCATCTCAAGAAAGGGTAATAAAATGAAACCTGTTGAGAGAATGCATAAGCCAGAGACTTTTGATCATGATTTGAAGTAGCTTCATTTCTGGCTTTCATGATTGTTTTGAGTTCTTCAAGTGTACGTGGGCAGTCCCTCCAATCATCGGTAATACAGCTTCCATCTCTAGACTGTAGAATTAGTATAGTTAAAATGTTAATTCGTGCAACTGAAATTAAACTTTTGTAACAATTTGATGGCTCTGTCCATTTCCATTAGTTTGACTAATAGAAAATGTGACTTTATTTGTCAACTAAGTTATAGACTAGGTTCATACGTCAATTTGTATCATGCTATACTATGTGCACAGGCAGATTTGCTAGATGGAGTAACAGTTGCGGGATGGCAACATTTCATTAGAGTTTGGCCAAAAAAGCAAATTTAAAACATCAAATCATAGGTTGCCATCGCAGCCCCGTACAGCAATCTCCCTTGTACAAAGGGCTTATTCCTTTTAGTGAAACTAACAGACATGTACTAAGATCATCTCTAGCACAACATCAAAATTTGCACCAAATCTTGCACAAAACCAAAATTCTTCTCCTATCATTACACCAAAATTTACACCAAATGAACATTGTTTTATTATTTTATTCATTCTTTCGATTTTTGTCAATGTATTTATTTTAAAAAAAGTATTTATTTATTTTATAACTATATAAATTACAAAATCATAACTTCGTTAAATTAACAAATATATTGATTACTAAATTATTCACGTGTTTTATATATTATGTTAAA